CCACTCGGCCACGGGGCCAGCCCCTGGGCTGTGTTTTTTTGATTTTGTGTGTGTGTGTGTGAGGAAGAGTGGCCCTGAGCTAACATCTGTCCCAATCTTCCTCTCTTTTATGTGGGATGCTGCCACAGCATGGCCTGACGAGTGGTGCTAGGTCTGCGCCCAGGATCCAAACCTACAAACTCCAGGCCACCAAAGCAGAGTGCGGGAACTTAACCACTACACCACTAGGCTGGCCCTGGGCTGTGCTTAGTTAGTAATTCGTTTCCAAAGAGTAAAGTATGGAAAAGGAGGGGGATGTAACCTGACAGTGGAGGAACTTGGCAAACACTGCCTTAGCTAGGTGGTCAAGGTTAACAGCATCAGTAGTAAGACATGTTGACAGCATGCACCCTTCATATGATGTGATAAGAATGGTACTTCACCTCCGTGATCTTCCTCCAAAAACCCACAACCCAGTCTAATCATGAGAAAAACATCAAATTCCAAAAGAGGGTCCTCCTACAATATACCCGACCAGGACTCCTCAAATGATGTCAAGGTCATCAAAAACAAGGACAGTCTGAGAAACTGTCACAGCCTAAGGAAACATGATGACAAAATACAATGTGGCATCCTGGATGGAATCCAGAAAAAGGATTTAGAGAAAAACTAATGAAATCTGAATCAAGTCTGGAGTTTAATTAATGAACCAGTGCTGGTTCCTTAACTGTGACAAACGTACTGTAGTGATTTGAGATCTTAGGAACAGGGGAAATTGGGTGAGGGATATATGGGAACTTCGGTACTTCTTTTGCAACTTTTCTGTAAAATTTTATTCTAAAATTTGTTTATTTAAAAAAAAGAGAGAGAACTCAAGGTGCTATACATTTATAGTCGAGGAAGGAATGCTGAAATGAGTGTACAAATGGTTGCAAAACTGGCAGAACCGGTCAATAGCCACAGAATAATAATCAAGTTTTACATCTTTAGGGACAGGAACAATTTGCTTACTATCAGTGTTCAGAAGTTAACGTCTATCTCTGCAGAGTTGTAAAACAGCCTAGTCAAAGACAAACCCTATATAACCCTACAGGAACAGGCAATCTCCAGAGGCTCCAGCATTCCATTAAAAGAATATCTCGAAATCTCTTTTGCCCATTTCAAAATCTTGAACAGTTTTTTTCAACAAAAGATGCAGGTGTCATAATTATACAAAGCTCTTACAACAGGCTGGCCGAAATTGACAAAACGGCTGACAGAAGTATACAAATATTCGAAAGGTTATGCAATGCTTTGCTAAATTATCACAACACTATGAACTGAAAAATAACCCAAAGCTCAAGATAATTTATCAGCCTACCCTGGGGAAACTCGACACACTGCCAAAGACATACATCACTGCCTTCGAATTAAAAGCACTTGCTATATTGTGTTACCTAGGCAACACACCAGCAAATGGTGCAGTAATAAAATAAGAATTAAAAAAAGCAAATTGAACCGAAAGAACAATCAATATTAAGTTCCAAACTAAATTCCATCCCCTGCCTGGTTGTACAAACTATACACGTTAAAGATAGACTCAGCTTTTAGGTGGGAACTATCGTTTTCCCAGGCCTCCTATTTCCACATGGAAGGTTTTCCACTGGATTAATGCTCATAGCCTCAGTTTCTGCCTGTGTAAGAAGAGGCTCTGTGACAAGATATATGGTTGTGGTTTGGAGCATGTGCCCCTGGACTGTTTATTTCAGGCTCTTTTTCACATCTGTTTGTTTTCTCTTTCCTCACAATCTTAATGTATGTGGCAAGTGTCTTGAAGCCAGAACTCACATGGGTCTTTCAAATCTCAGTTTCAGACGCCCTGATGGAAGAGCAACTATCTCTCATAGGAAATTGATAGAGAAACTTCTGAATATGATCTAGTGTCCCCTGCTTGACCACAGGGGATAATGTGCTGATCACACCCAAGGTGAGAATTTCCACTCCATGTCACAGCAATATTTCTTATTATAAATGAATAAATTAGTATTCTGGTTCTAACCCAGTCTCATGTACATTTGAGTTAGTGTGAACCAACTTCTCAGAATCCGATCACCTCCCTAAGCACTGAGAAAATACAAATCTCTGAGCTCTGAAGTGGGGGGCTAGATTTCTTCCAGCCTTCTCTAAGATGAACTGTTTACCTCTTCCAGTTGCACTTCTACTGATTAGCATACCCCCACGTAAAGCCTCAGGTGAGAGGTTCATTTCAGAGCTGAAGTTTAGGAAAAGCTCTGTTTATTTTGAGAACTGTGAAACAGATTATAGTTCCTTTCTCTCTCTTTCCTTTTTACAGTCGGGAAGCATAACATCAACTATAAAGGAGCTTTTGGAAGTGGTTCTCAAATTTTTCATGATTGTGGAATACTTTGAAATGTCAAAATTTGGGGCAGACAACTTGAATGAATTGAACAATTTAAAACAACTCTAAACCAACTATTGTACCATCCCAGAGAGCCTAGAATGCATTCAGAGTTAACCCAGTACTTATACTGTCCCCTTGAACATTGTAGCTGTTTGAGAACTATTCCTGCCCGGACAGTGACTTCTTAGACACTCACAAGGCAAAGTTTTCCTATTTTCCTGAGAACCACCATCCCCCTCTGGAGCTAACCTAAAGCTGTGTTTTGCCTTTTCCCTCTAACTTGAAGCAAATTGTGCAACATACTCCACCTCAGCATTACCTACAATGGAAATAATTGTTTTATAATAAAAATTAAAGTTATATATCTGTGGAAACTTTGCGACATACTGTATCATCTTAGCACTCCAGTAAGAACAAGTGTCTTCTCTGTTTTCAGTTTCCCCCACTGAGACTTACTCACATATTTCTATTTTCTTTACTCCTAATGCTTTATTTTTGTTCACATTTTACTACTGTATTGTATATATGTCTTACCTTCTTAAATTCTTTGCAGAATGAGAATAGATATTCAAAAAATAAAATACAGGAAGGAAATACCTTCTCTTTGGTGCCTACTCTCTACTGCCCTCTGCAGGTAGAAGGAAAGAATAAGCAAGCCACAACCTATTACTACCTACATAATATCCAGGAGTTCCTCACCCAACAGGAAGGTTTAAAGGTTGGTGATTTTTGAGAGGCTGACGATTACCAACCAGACTCCATCTATTCACAGGAAGAGTTTCCCAATTTGCTAAGGTCCCTTCACCGTGGAAAGCTCTCTGGGAACCATATACCCTATTCTCAAGAGACCTCCCTATCTGCTGCACCCATACACAAATGGACATCGAAGTCCTATCTCATTCCTGGCCAAGGCTAAGAGGCTCTGTGTCAAAGTTCCTTCCAGTCTTGCAAAACTTGAGTCTGAGAGTGAAAAGGAAAGGACTCAATAGTTATAATGTCTGCATAAAGGTACAGACATTAAGCAATGCAACTTGTCTGTGCCTTCCAGACAAACTTCAACAAATGTATAAATCCCTGCAATGCAGCAATCACAGATCATGTGAGATTTTTCTTTTCTTTTTTCTTTTTTTTTTTTTCTGGTGAGGAAGAGTCACCCTGAGCTAACATCTGTTGCCAAGCTTCCTCTTTTTTTTTTTTTTTTTTTTTTTTGCTTGAGGAAGATCAGCCTTGAGCTAACATCTGTGCCAATTTTCCTCTATTTTGTATGTGGGATGCCTCCACCACATGGTGGATGAGTAGAGTAGGTGTGCCTGGGGATCCGAACCTGCAAACCTGAGCCATAGAAACAGAGGGGGCAGAACTTCAATCACTCAGCCATGGGGCTGGCCCCTGCTTTTCATTTTTACAAAGAGTATAAGGCAGCCTGCGAGATAACCACCAAACAGCCGGCTTCAATTTCGTATAGAAAGGACCATTGCTTATGCATAGATTATTTTCTTCAGTCACACTACTTTGCATGGATAGCAACACTGTCAGTGATGTCATCTTCTAAAACAACAGACTCGAATGTATAGGCATATTGTGCCAACTGAGCCCAAATCAATGACCTGGGTAATGCAATCAGGGTAACACTATTGTTCGTGGTCTAAATCCTCCAAACCCATAGAAAAAGAATGCTAATCTGATGCCTGTTCAAGGAATATGTTATGTGGGAAAGAAAATCAACCCCTTGTTTAATTTTATTTACATTTGAATATGTACTTACAGGAAACACATCACAGAATTTAATACCACTACATGCATTAGAATATGTCATTTTATTTTTGTATTAGTAGGAGGTTAAGAAATTTATTAACAAACACATTTTCTTTTTTTGGCGAGGATATGTTCTAAAGAATTGATCTGCAAAAGTGTATTCATGTCGCATACCAACACTTTTCCAGCAACTGCGAGATCAGAATGATTTATAGCATTTCTGCTAGAAGAGGCAGCCTTGTTTTATTGATTGGGGTAAGCAAATTTTTGAAGGATTTATAGCTTTTAGTTCCATCTCTGCTTGCTTTGTGATTAAATAGACTCATTCTATTTACCTATCTTCATAATGGGCATAACATGGACTTCAGCAGGTTTAAATTTTTTCAATGTCTGAAAACCTGTTTTCCGAGCTGAAAAATGTTTTTTCAAAAGTTTTGTAAGGTAGAGATCCAATGAGTCTTTTCACTCGTTTAGAGGTATACACCGAGCGCCTTCTACAGTCAGGCGGGTTCCGTAGAGGGGTTAGTACTCCGTCTTTGAGGACCACACATCCGGGAAATCCGAGAGCTAGACAGAGGCCCCGCCCCCTACGGGCGGGACCACGGAGGTCAGCGTGTCCCTCCTCCCTGCGCGCAGGGGGCGGAGCCTGCGAGGCGCGCAGCCTGAACCCGCCGGACCGGCGCGCCGGCTTCCGCCATGGCCGAGAGCGGCCGGACACCTCAGGCCCGGGCGCTCCTGCAGCAGTGCCTGCACGCCCGGCTGCAAGTACGCCCCGCCGAGGGGGACGCCGCGGCCCAGTGGGTGGAGGTAACGTCGGCCCCGCAGCTCCAGTCAGCCTCCGGCGCGCAGGGGCGGTTCTTGCCGCGGTGACTCGTCCCCCCGCGTCTCCCTGCTAACCTGCCGCGTGGCGCGCGGCACGTGCTGTGGGCGGCGCGGGACTTCCGGCCGCCCTCCCGACGCTGCCCACAGGGCCCGGCCTCGCTGCGCCGTGTCCTCAGTCCTGCCCTGCCGGCCCCGCGCCTTCTCCCTCTTCTTACCCTGGAGAGAGGGCGTGTCCCCTGCCTGGGGCCGCGGGAAGTGAACCTCCGCTCGCCGTTCTGCCACCTGAGCTCGGTGACCTGGAGGCCTGATTATCTCACACTTTTTGCTCCTAAAGAGCAAAGGCCTTGCCGCGCCCTTCGCCTTGCTCGGGCTGCGGGTGGCCGTGGCTGCTCTCGTTCGAGCTTGTAGATTAGATTTGTTGCAAACGTTCACGATGTGTTTTGCCTTGTGCTCCAGATCCCGTCGAATTCCCTCCTATGTTGACTGCAGCTAGGTTTTAGCATAGAAATGAGATTTCCCACGAAACAGGTCTGTTTTTCAAGGAACTTCTAAGACTTTGATTTATTTCCAACTAGAAACGCTACTTTTGTAATAATGTTGCATTGTTATCTAACACATTTCCTGCAAAGAATTAAAAACGTTTACACCAATATGATTTCCTTCCACTTGCCCAACAGCCTTTTTAAGACAGCCTGCTGCCACTCCGTGCAAAAAAAAATTAAAATGTTCTTTACGGCCCCTGACTTATTTTTGGTTGAAATGAAGAAAAATATTAGTTCATAATTAAGACTTTGGGAGCATCTCCTTCAGTCGTTTGCCGAATTCGGTCCCAGATCTAGAATTCCTTAACGCAATTCTAGTCGTTATTTTACATAGTACCCATAAACTATGATGTGTGGGTAATTATTCTTAAATCAGAATGTTACCCTCTGCTAATTTGGAAATATTTATAGACATAAACATTCCTATATTTTCCCGTCCCTTTTTCCTTCTCAAAAATTCATGTTTCTTATTTTGTTATTGCCTTATTTTGAGGTCGTGATTCCTCTAACATTATTTGGTATTATATTCTTTTTATATTTGCCATCCTATCCAAAGAATTGCCTATTGTAGTCGCCTCATGGGACTATAAATCTCAAACTATTAATCATTTCGATTTCTTCCTTGCTTGTCTTTTTATATTCTTCATGCCACATCTCCTTAAGCAAAATCACAGATATTTTATTGCTGTCTTTCACAGTATCAGTTTGTGTTTATAAACTTTAAAAGCTGTTTTAAAGCTTTCCCTTCCACTCCCACACATGGCTCAATTAGCGTAAAGAGCTGACAAGTAATTAGATAGTGAGAAAGTAAATTCTTTCCTCTTTCTCAAGCATCCTCTTCCCTATTCTATTATTAAAAAGTTCTAATTTTTTAAAAACATTGTTAAAAGATTTGAAGGTTGCTTTGTGTGTTCTTAGTTTCATTCGTTTAACCCTTTGCTGTCACAGGCTAACGTTTCTCTTCCTGGGAGATGAACTTTTTTAAGCTACAGTGAGATTGATCTCTACTTTCCTATATGTTTGAAATGGTTTTTACCAAAAGAAGTTACAAGAAAAGTAATTCTGACCTGAAGAGGGGAATTTGTAGGTCACAACTTAAGATCTATTATTGGAATACACTAAAGGAAAATACCAAAATACTGTACTGAGGAGGTAGTGTGGCGAGTGAGAAGAACAGGTGTCTGTTTCTGCAGATAATTAGATAATTCTGACATTGCAAGTGTCCAACTATGAATGTGCTTGAGATTTTGGCTCCTGCTGAAACAATGCCGATGGAGAGGCCTGGGACAGTGGTACTCGTGTCGTTCAACCCGGCAGCTCCTGGTTATGGGTGTGCATTAGAGGCCTTTGCTTGTTCCAAAAGCACAGTCACACTTTTTAAAATTGCTTCTTTTCCAGGTAAATCAGATAGATGTGCGTGCAGAGCTGCATTTATATTTACATGGAAGACTATTTAGATAACACATACAGCCTGTAAGATACCATTGAACTTACATGCGCTCAACAGATAAATTGAGTCCCTGTCATGTACAAAGCAGCCTGTAAAGTGCTTTGGGAGTTAAAATGTAAAATAAATTGTATTTCAGCCCTCAAATTTATTTTAACATACTCACTTAATGAGCACTGATATAGCTCTTACTATGAACCAGGCACTGTTTTAAGCACTTTACAAATATTAACTCATTCCATCTTCATAATAGGTCTCGGACTCAGCAAGGTTAATCTACAAAATAAAAAATGTAATGATTCATTCAGCAGTAAAATCAAAATCATTTATCAAGTGTCTCTTTTCCATATAGTCTCTGTCATACAAGAGCTAATAAAGAAATATCCAAGTCATTAGATGAAATAAATAAGCTTACATTCCTAACAGACAGCCTCGTCGTGTAAAGCTTAACATCATAAATGCAGTTTCCGAGGGTAATCACTATGTTTGTTTAAAGCACTGACAACAATAACAAAAAATAATTGGACAGTTTCTTGGAATTTATTGAAGTAGAATCAGATCCTTATTTTCACTATTGGCAAATAAATGGATTAAGAAGAATAAAGAGTGATAATGTCAAAAGATAGCAGTCACACTATTGCTTACCCATGAGCCACATCTGATACGATGTGAATTCATTTGGCGTTGAGTAACTGGGGTGCTGCACCGTGAATGTTTCTATCAGACTGACTGAGGGGGTAGGAGGCTAGTTCATAGTCCTAAAGTTTTTGACTAGAAGTAAATGTTTGAAGGTCTAACTTGTGGTCTTCACTGCTGTTGGCTGCATTTTAATTTTTGAAAGAAATGATAACTGAGGTGATTCAATATTGAAAAAGATTGTTTCCTCACATATTTAAGAAATGAAATCTCTTGTAAAAACTTATCTTCCTTTGCGTTTAACCTCTAACAGCTGTGAAGTTTTATTCATTTACTTCTGTGTCTCTTTATAGAGGTTTCTTTCTAATCTGAGTTGTGGTAATTTCTCATAGGTTCAGAGAGCATTAGTGATCTACGTGTGCTTTTTCAAGGGAGCTGATAAAGAACTTCTTCCCAAGATGGGTATGTGTTTGATGTTTCTTTTTTAAGAATGAGAATGAATAGTGATAGATAAATGAACCAGAGGGGCAAAAAGCACAATCTTGAATTGTCCTGGTATGTAAATTATAAATGACTTAACTCGGTGTATTGTTGTTGGCTTTGGCTATTTGCCTCTTCCAAAGTTTAAAGTAAGCAAGTGTGGTGGAATTCTTTTAAAACATCTGCAGCATTTCACCTGGCTTATAGATTGGTTTCGAAGGGCGTACACACACACAAAGACAGACAATGCACTGAGATTCAGCCAAGGATACAGAAATTTTTGGAAGCAGGGTGGCCACATAGGGAGAAACAGATGCTGTATTTCTTAATATAGTTTCCTTACCTCCCAGAGTCCCTGACAGGGGCATGTAGGTGACACTGTATGTATAAGATGTGGATCCCTTCAAATCCAGACAGCTCAGGCTTACATCATTATTATGGAAGAATTTACATTAACCATTTATATGGCACTTCTTTGTTGGAAATGTGTATAAATATAAGGTTCTCCTGATTCTCGAACCAACCTCAGTGTCATCACAGGCACACCTCCTCCAGGGGCAGAGAAAGCAGAGTTAATGTTCAGGCATCTCTGATGAATAAATTCACCTGCCTGCAGCTTTGCAGTATCCTGGACAGTCCATAGCACTGCACATTGCTTGTTATAATGCCATAGGTTCAGATATACCAAACCAAATCATATACTCTCTCAAGAGCATTCGATATAATAATTATGTCCGAAAAAAAAAAGCTTGAAATATGGAGCTATCCCTAAGGTTGGAGACAGGTTATATTCTCTTCATTAGTAGAGAACAACACCCATTGTCTGATTAATAAGAAATATAAATTATACAAATGGGTTGTTGAAGCCTGCAGAAGTTAACCCAGAAGAGCTTCAGGTAGTGGAACTCAAGGGTAAATAGCCCGAAGAGGAACAGCTTAGACAAAAGGCTAAAGCTCCTAGAGGGAATTTATACCGAGACATCAAACATGTTGACAACTTTGTCAGAGGATGGAAACTAGACTTAAGAAGGCACTACAATGGGGCCACCCGGCGGTGCAGCGGTTAAGTGCACATGTTCCGTTTCTCAGTGGCCTGAGTTTCACCGGTTCGGATCCCGAGTGCGAACATGGCACCGCTTGGCATGCCATGCTGTGGTAGGCGTCCCACATGTAAGGTGGAGGAAATGGGCACGGATGTTAGCTCAGGGCCAGGCTTCCTCAGCAAAAAGAGGAGGATTGGCAGCAGATGTTAGCTCAGGGCTAATCTTCCTCTAAAACAAAAGAAAACAAAAAAAAAAAGAAAGAAGGGACTACGATAGACCGGGCCCTGATGATTTAGTTGTTAAAGTTCTGTGTTCTTACGGCTTCAGCAGCCCGGGTTTGTTTCCTGGTGGCAGAATCACACCATGTTGGTTGCCATGCTGTGGTGGTGCTCACATAGAAGAGCGAGAAGGACTTACAAGTAGGATATACAACCGGGCACTCAGGCGCTCTGGGGAGTGAGGGGAGAAAAGGGGAAGACTGGCAACAGATGTTAGCTCAGAGTGAATCCTTCCCTGAAAAAAGAAAAAAAGGAAGAAACTGCAGTAGGTGAAGATGGAAAGCCAGTAACTGTAATAGTTTGAAATTTGAGTCTGGAGGATAATAGGGATCTCTGAAGGGTTTAAGGAGAAAATGAAATGAGGGTGCCTGTTAGAGAGGATGATTTGCCAGGTCCTAAAGCTTGAGTATTGGACATTCTGTCCATTTTCCTGAGTTAATATTTTGCCTTGAATTAAATCTTTCTTCACCATAAATAGTATAGTAGAAATCTTCAAAATTAGGAAGAGAATTTTTGTCATTGTGACTTAAGACTGACTTCCTGAAGTTGTTTCATATATTCTTAAATGGATCTTAATCATAATAAGATGAAATGAACCAACCAAATCCAAGCTGCGTTTTGTTGTATAGTAATTAAATTCTGTGTGCTTCCATGTGTCTATCTGAGTTCACTTTGAATACATGCATAGATTGTGGTGAATTAAAAACACTGAGGAGGGGGCCGGCCTGGTGGCGCAGCGGTTAAGCATACACATTCCACTTTGGCAGCCCAGGGTTTGCCGGTTCAGATCCCTGGTGCGAACATAGCACCGCTTGGCAAGCCATCCTGTGGTAGGCGTCCCATGTATAAAATAGAGGAAGATGGGCACGGATGTGAGCTCAGGGCCAGTCTTGCTCAGCAAAAAGAGGAGGATTGGCAGCAGATGTTAGCTCAGGGCTAATCTTCCTCACAAAAAAAAAAAAATCACTGAGGAGGTCCACCTTAACTCTCTTAGTGGATAGTCTAACACAAAGCTTTAAATATCATGATTCTCAGTAAAGAACTGTGATTCTTAAGAGTCACATTCTGCTAGTGTGAGTTGTAAGCAAAATAAGCCCATCTATTATTGATGGCATTAGCTTATACTTTCCACTACTCCAGGGGGCAGAGTAAGCCAGTGTGATGGGCTTCTCTTAACCCCCACCTCATACTTGCTGCATGGATTCAGATCTTCCCAATCACATCATGCACTGGTACCTTGGGAATATGACAACCAGTTATAGCCATAAAGTCTGAAACAGCAAGGTTAACATAGAGATGTGCAGACTCTTCCTCAATTCATCTTCAGTATAATTGGGCCAAGATCCAGGGACCTGTCAAAGCATAACTTCCCATATACATCATTAGAGATACTGGATTGACAATCTGTCTTAGGATCTTTCCGTTTCCAACGTGCCATTAATTCATTGTCTCATTTTAATTCTACCTGCTGACACTTGTATTTCTATTATATTTACTTCTACATACTGCTATCTGTATACCTAGAGTATTAATTGAATTCTCAATTATAGCCAGTAGAGGGAGGTGTGGGGAAGTATAGTAAATTTTACTCACCTCTCTGGCCTGTTATTCCGAAATTGCCTCTTTGGTCTATCACTAGTCTGAGGCCAGATAGCTGCATAGTGATTTCCATTGGAATGAAGTGCTCTGGAGAGTTACAATTTCCTTAGAAGCAGTCAGTAAGGACTGCTGGCTATATAGCAAAGTCCTATTTGTAATAGAGAAAATTAGAGGAATTTTAAAATAGATGTCAGTTAAGTGAAAACTGATAGCACTTAATACATAGCTTAGGAATTCATTTGGGTGTTCACCTTCACAGATTTTTACCAGGTTCATTCCCTGTAGAGGGGGGCAACCATACTGAATTCCTGCTGATCTTGACTACAGACCCTCTAATAATTGAAGCCGTTGACTACCCCACCCGAAGGCATACCTTTTCAAGGCTGATTGGGCAGAAGTGTGAGGTTTATATAGTTTCTTTTACCGTTTGTCCTCTCAGGACTATTCTCTACAAGCAGAGGTTACTTATACCCTTTATAGAGGTAGGAAGACCCTAAGGCTATTTACATTAGGTATTTCTCTTGTTTATTGTTTTGAAAATGGCTAATGTTGAGATGTAAAGGTTTTCTAAGTTTAGATTTTTAGCTACACATAGATGTTTATGGTGATGTTGACACATTAGCTATAAGAGTATAATTTCATCAATTCTATAAAAATAATACCATGTTGTGTTGTATGTATACGAAGATAATGCCAGTAACTCTATACCTTTTGATTTACTTTTTCAGTTGTAACAATAAATTTCTGATGATTCTTGCTTTTACCTTTACCCTTCTCTCATGGGTTATATTTGTAAACTGATTCGTCCGTGTTAGCAGTGCCTTTGAGATTCTGAAACTACAAAATCAGTTCGTTTATAATGGGATTGAACCTGGAACTTTTGTCTCTGCATAGAACTCTAGGCAACTAAGTTTAATGTAACAAATGCACTAAGATTTGTATTTAATATTCTTTGTTATAAAGCAGAATTTGGTGTGAGGAGGATTTGTCATAGTCTTTTCCCAATGGGATTTGCTCATGAAATATAAAAAGGAGCAAGAAGGCAAAATCTTCTCATGCATCCCCCTGAGACAACAGTATTTTGAGGTTCCAGGATATAGTCAATTCTTTAGTCCTTTCTGGATGAACTTAAGTGATCTTAACTGCCAAGTCAGATTTAAAACATTGTGCCATTTTCTGCATGAAATTTGCCCTGTTTTTCATGCTTAGATCATTCAGCTTAGTGAAGCAATTTTTAAAATCTAAGTAGAGACATTGAGTAAAAAGCAGGAGCTGACAAACTGAGCTTTAAAGATGAGATTTGCTGACTAGAAGATTATTGGTTTTCTTCATGTTTGTTTTTCACTTCAAAACGTTTCCCTTTTCTTCTCCGCCCAGTTAGTACACTGTTAAACGTGAAATTAAGTGAGACAGAAAACGGCAAGCTCGTCTCTATACTGGATCTACCTGGCAACATTCTTATCATCCCTCAAGCCACCCTTGGGGGGAGAGTAAAAGGAAGAAACATGCAGTATCACTCTAACTCGGGAAAAGAAGATGGGTTAGAACTTTATTCCCAATTTGTGGCTCTCTGTGAAAAAGAATTAGCTGCTAACAGCAAGTGTGCAGAAGCTGGGGTTGTGGTGAAACATGGCACTTACGGGAACAGGCAGGTGTTAAAGCTGGACACCAATGGACCATACACACACCTAATTGAGTTTTGAAATATTAAAAGTTAGTTTCTACGGCTGTTTTCTGGTATAAAATGATCTAGACTAAAATTAGATTTTCTTCCCCTTCGTCTTGAATACACTAATCTGCAGCATTTTTGGACAAGAAAATCCTCAGTCCCATCCATAACTCTGCAACCTGCTAGTTGGATGACCTTACCAAAGCACCTGAACTCTGGATCTCAGTCACTTCTCATCCTGCTTTCCCCTACACTTCACCCAGAAATTTGAAAAATGCTTTCCATTCATTTTATGATCGTTGTGGAAATGTTCTTAGGGAGGTGTATTTAAGTATTTTGCAATGAAGAATTTTGTGCAAAATGTAGAGAAATATATTTCTTATACCCCTAAATGTATGTAATATGTAATAAAAATACCTGTTTTCATTAAAATTAGATAAAATCCAGCACAAACTGATGATAATTTTATCAATTTTGTTTTACTGTTTCGGTTTTACACATTTTGAGTGAATACGAGATTTACTATTCCTTTTAATGTCTATGAAAATGTAATAATACAGAAATGTTATTGTGCATTATAGTATTACTTTCCAAGGACATCCAAGTGCTTCAAATTATTTTAAAAACGTTTAGTTGATAAAGGAACAAAATATAGGGGATTAAAATATGTTTTTATTTAATATACCAATAGGTTAATATTCTGTTTCTTAGTTTTTTACCAATGTATGTCTCACTTTCTGTCTTTGGTTTTTGAAAGTTACTGCTTCATGAATTTAGTGTTAGTTCATAAATTTTTTAGGAAGTTTCTTTCTTGTTGAATTGTATTGCTATAAAAGGAAGAAAAAGGGAAGCTTTCTACTGGAATTCTTTGAAAACAAGTTGACTTGTTCATTTCCAGATTTGGAGCCGATGTCATTTTTTCTATTAGTGAATATTATGGACTGAATGTTTGTGTTGTTGTCGCCCACCCCCCCCCCCCCCAGCCCCTCACTGCCAAAATTCATATGTTGAAGTCCTAACCCCCAATGTGATGATATTTGGAGATGGGACCTTTGGGAGGTAATTAGGGTTAGATGAAGTCATGAGAATGGGGCCCTCATAGTGGGAGTAGTCACCTTGTAAGAGACACCAAAGAGCTTGTTCTCTCTTTCCTGACCGCATGAGGACACAGTGAGAAGGGGGCCATCTACAAGCCAGGAAGAGGACTCTCACCAGAAATGGACCATGATGACACTTTGATCTTGATCTTCTAGCCTCCAGAACTGTGAGAAAATAAATTTCTGTTGTTTAAGTCACCCAGTCTATGGTATTCTTTATGACAGCCTGAGCTGACTAAGCTGGTTATTAAGCAGAAGCTAATAAGGTAGACTTTTCAAAGGCAAGAGAGGAAGAGATATAAGAAATTGAAAGAATAAATGAATAAAAGGTAATATTCAGTTTTTGCAAACTCCTCGGACTTGATTTAAAAAGATATCTTTAAGAGTAAAAACCACAGAATATTTCTAATTACCAAAAAGATGAAATTAACTTGAATAAACATTGCTGAAAATTCCTGTCTTATCATCTCTTCATGTCTGTGTTCCTAAGATATTTAAAATTTTTATTATTACAAAAAAATCCTATTTTCTCTGTATCCTTCCTGCACTGTTCTATTTTGGAACGTGAAAAATCAATAACTGGCTTGGTAATGAGCTCATTGTCCTTAACTTTTGCTTTATTGATTCACGATACACTTATTGAAATGTAATAAACTATTCATAAACTTGCAAACTCCAATTTTCTCAAAGCTTCTCCAAGGAGATGTATATGTCTTTCAAAAAGACCGCCTGTTACCTATTTTAAATTACTTTGATTTTATGTCTAGGTGAAATGCTGACTCACAGCCCTAGATTGCTGTTTTATGGTTCAGGCAATTTTCTTTAAAAAGAATTTACTTAAGGTACTTGTGGAGAATAGCAATTTCAACTACATGAAGGGTTATTAAGAAGAAGGTGATGGCCAATTTAGTTTCATTTGCAAAGAGACTAGAACAAGAGGAAAAGGCAAGAGAAATAGCTGATGTCAAAATGACTACACCCTGGCTTTCTGTAGCTCTTCTGGCCCGAGGTGCTCAAAGAACCTTCAATAGATCTCGTTTTATCTTCACAGTATATAATAAGGATAGTGCTTTGGAAAGTAAGATAATGCTTCAATAATTTTCCCAAGATCACACAGTAGGGAGAAGTAATTTGCATCTTCCCCACTTTTCTTGTAGTGTGAGTTGTTAAAGTTGTAATTGATCTTGATAAAAGCTTAGCATCTCCCAGTGTGGATCTCTTGAGAAAGAACAGCCAATAAATTGGTTTATTTACTAAATTAGATGGCAGTAGGGTTGCAACTAATTTGGGTGCTTTCTGCCTCTGTTTTTCTAAGATTCTGGAACGTTTCAATTATCATTTCTAAATACTATTTTGTCTGTTCATTTAGAAACTTCATAGATTCCATTATAGAAAATACTGTAAGATCCAAAGTACCAATGAGTATAGCATTAATAACTTGAATATACTCATAGAAAGTAAAATAAACATACTTTTACCACTCTTTCGTTAGTTCAAGGCAAAAAGAAGTCATGTCATTTACGAATAATATCTGTATTAAGGATGATTTATTGACTCCATAATGAAAGAACTAAGCTTATCAAACATAAGATCAAATACTGTAGAATCCTGTGCCACTTGTTTTAGAGAATAAGAACTCACATTGGTGTTTTAAGAGAACAATAACATCAAATTCTTGCTCTATAATTAACATTGCAGAGACCCGATGTGTTGTTATGGTTAAATTTATATTTTTAAAAAGCCCCGCATGGTAATGAAACTAGTATATCTAGAAGTGCCTTGCCTGTTGATTTATTGAATTGAGACTAGTTGCTGAAAGGGAAGGACTACTGGAAAAGAAGCATTTTCGTTCTGAAGCCACCCCTTGGTGACGACTTTACATGTCTGTTTATTTTGATAGTCTGATTATTCTCCCTTACTTCTATTTCCCAATCGCTAATACTTTCTTGCAGACCATCGCCAAGGTAATGTTCATAGACTATCCCTTTCTCTATGATTCTCCACTGTTTAGAATCTTCTATAACTCTTATCTGCAGGACAAAGGCTAAACTTCTGAGCTTCTAAAGATCTCCATACTCCTTGGCAATGAATGAACTATAGAGGACCAAAGTCAGAATTCTGAGAAAACATAAAGAAAAGGCAACGTATGAGAGGCCAGAGGACTCTAGGGATCAGAGAGGTAGAGAGAACCAGAAAAATGCACTGTTAACAGAAGATAGTTTTCAAGATGTAAACAGTGACGAAGTCAGTGCCAAATACTGAAAAAAACCTGGATAATACAAAAACCGAGGAGAGACCTCTGCGCCTAGCAGTTAGGTGTTTTCGAGCTTTTGGGAAATTGAGGTAAAATTTGCAAGAATTGGTAGAGGTAGAAAAAGACTCTTAATCTTTGGTCCTAGGGCAGAGTATCAAAGTGTGCCAGTGGACCTGTGCCAGAATCACCTGGGGAGCCTAACCTTTAACAAAATTCGGGGGCCGGCCCCGTGGCCAAGTGGTTAAGTTCGTGCGCTCAGCTTTGGGGGCCCAGGGTTTTCACCAGTTCAAATCCTGGGCCCGGACATGGCACGACTCATCAGGTCATGCTGAGGTGGCATCCCACATGCCACAACTAGAAGGACCCACAACTAAAAATATACAACTGTACGGGGGGGCTTTGGGGAGAAAAAGGAAAAATAAAATCTTTAAAAAAAAAAAAAATGTGGCTCTCTGGGACCATCCCAAACTTACTGAATTGGACTCTTAGGAGTTAAAAGTTTAGTCACCAGTCTCCCTCAGGTGCTTCTTGTGTACACTGGAATTCCAGAACCACTGTTACTCAGAATGAAGCCCAGACTTCTAAGGCTGGTATCAGGGCTCTCTAATCCGGCTCCAGGCGACTTTCTAACCTTTTCTCCCATTACTTCCCTATAGAAATTCTCCAGTATAGCTTGATTGTATTTTTCTTAGGTCATGCTCATACCTAAGTTGCCCCCTGCTGCCCTCTAAACCATCATCATTCACTATCTAGCTCAAGTCAATCTCTTCTGACCTCACAGTATTTCTCCTGCCTCCACCTTCCTTGGCATTGTGGTTGTGCCGCTCTTGACGCTGTGATGTGTCTTATGAGACTGAGTACTTTGGCTTTAATTTTTCATATTGGTCAGTCTTGACTGCAAGAGTATAAATAATATTGGGCAGAGATAATATAATAGCATACATAATATAGTATCAATATTTTTTATCTCCCACAGTGCTTCCATAGCACTCCATATGTTGTCCATGCTCAATAATTCTTGGCACATATTACCTGAATTAATATGGAGATATGCTGGTGGCCAGAATAGTCTTGATTTTGGCTCAGTTATACTAGCACCTCACACATAGTTTTCTTTGCCTTTAAGGAATAGCAAGAGGTTGCGATGTGCAGGAAGCAAGTTTAAATCAGCTACTCCTTGCTTTAATACAATAGATAACACCAGAAAAAGTAAAGACAAGCCAAAATGAAGGACTTTTGGGTCTCAACACAAATGTGGGCATTGCTGTTTCTATTTTATTGCTTTATTACATCAGAGTGGTCGCTGTATTTTCTTGTGTCACTCAATAGTATCTTCCTAATATAGTATAACTGTTTTGTGTAATAGCTCTATACCTAAAAAAGCAAGCTATTCTTAAAAACAGAAGGGAAAAACTATTTCACTTAAGAAAACTTGTCTTTGAGTCCTTTGTAAAAGAAACTTTTTATGGACCAATTAAAAATATCTTTATTTTGTTTATAAATATGAATTTTGATGCAACAAGCCTTATGAAGACCCATCTATATTTAATTAAAAAATGAAGCAGTTCTGTGGTATGCATCACAAATAGCCAACTTCATGATGAATGTGACTCTACTTCTTTTTATTAAACTTTTCCATATGAGTGAATTCTTTGCACTGGGTTAGCCAGCATTTTTCTCCTAAGAAGCTTAATAAAATTTGACCTATTACGTCAGCTTTTTTCTGCATATGGGAAGACGAATTTGTGTGTAATGCATCACACCCTATGTAACAGTATCTGAGAACCATTAGCTAATGCTGTTAAAAACAGTTGAGGTTGGGAAAGTAATTATGGGGTTTTTTTTAGGGAATGTCTGACCATACTAGTAAAAATGCCACCCTTGGCTCCAACTTTGAGATATTGTTTACTTAGCTTTGTACTAAGGTACATAAACTAAGGCATGCTTCCTACTCCCGGCATTCTTTTAATTTACTTTGCAGCCCTAAGGTAATTCCCTTTATGAGTAGATATGATCATCTTCAAAGTTTAGCTTGCTCAGCGCCTGCATTATCTTTTCTCCTGATTACATTCAGATAGTCTTCATAGCTTTGATTTCTTTTCATTGTATGCATACTTGCCATTTTTAAGCCAGATGTTGAAAATATTCTTCTAACATTTGCTTAATACTACATCATGGATAGTTGCTCTCCACTTAAAGGTTGTAATCTTTAGAATCTGCAGGTAAGCGGTGGACCTGGGGGCTGTGTGAAATATGAATTGTTCAAGATAGGACCCTTACAAAGGGTCTTACCATCTAGTAGGGGACATGGTAGACACAGAAATATACTAGTAATATGTGATCAGTGATACCTGGACGATGCTATCTATGAGCGTTAGAATAGCAGCAGAGGGAGAAGAGTGGCTGGAGTCTGGCTGGAGTGGTGAATCCCTGTGTTAAACAAGGCTTGGCAGCTTGAGCCATCCCTTGAAGAATGGGTAGAATTTCTATAGGCACAAGGAGTGGGGGGAGGCATTTCAAAGTGTGTCTGGACTAATAGGTAAGAAGGTGACGTTAAAGGCTTTGTAAAGAGAAGAGTGACATAATTAAAACAGTTTTTAGGAGAATAGACCTGACAGTTGGCATATAAGGATTACAGAAAGAAGAAAATTTGGTGGCAGGAAGACAGATTTTTTTCAAGTAGTGCAGACCTAGGGGATTAGGGCTCACTTATAACTTAGTAGTGGCTGTGGGTGTGGAAATTAACGTAACTGGAGATATTGGAAGGTGTTTTGAAGACAGATACACTTAAGGGCAGCTGATTGGTTGTGGGGCTAAAGGGAGGAATCAAAAATCACTCTGAAGTCTTACGTATGGATTACTGGAGAAGATGAATTCACATTTTATAAGGTGAGTTGGAGGGACCTGAAGGTTTATCCAAGTAGAAATGTCCAGCAGACTTGTT